GGGCGTGCCCCGAGCCCTGCGCCTGCGTGGACAAGTACGCCCACCAGTTCGCCGACTGCGCCTACAAGGATCTTCAGGTGGTGCCCACCGGGTTGCCCTCCAACGTGACCACCCTCAGCCTCTCGGCCAACAAGATCACCTCGCTGCAGCGGCGTTCCTTCGTGGAGGTGACCCAGGTCACCTCCCTCTGGTTGGCGCACAACGAGATCCGCTCCATCGAGCCCGGTACCTTCGCCATCCTGGTACAGCTGAAAAACCTCGACATCAGCCACAACCAGATCGTGGACTTCCCCTGGCAGGACCTCTACAACCTCAGCGCTCTCCAGCTGCTCAAGATGAACAATAACCACATGGCTCTGGTGCCTCAGGGGGCTTTCCACACCCTGAAGGACCTCCGGTCCCTACGCATCAACAACAACAAGTTCACCAGCCTTGCAGAGGGTATCTTCGACTCGCTCAGTTCCCTCTCCCACCTGCAGATCTACAACAACCCCTTTGAGTGCTCCTGCAAGCTCCAGTGGTTGAAGAAGTGGATGGACAGCACGCTCATCTCCATCCCTGAGAAGGACTCCATCACTTGTGCCCTCCCAGAGCAGCTCCGAGGAGTGCCGGTGGGGAAGATCCCAGACGTGCAGTGTACCTCGCCTACCGTGCAGCTCACTTACTACCCCAACCTGGACACCACGGAGCTCTTTGATGGCTTCACCCTGACGCTGCACTGCGCTGTCACGGGCACCCCACCGCCCGAAGTGAGCTGGAAGATCCGCACCTCCAGCCAAACCCTGGAGCTCAACGGCAACCCGAAGGAGAGCGCCGGGAAGGACCTCCCCAAACAGGACCCCGAGCGCTTCTTGGTCTTCAAGAACGGCACGTTGCTGATTCCCCATCTAAGCAAGAGGGAAGAAGGCACCTACACCTGCCTGGCCACCAATGAAATGGGGAGCAACCAGACCTCGGTCAACGTGGCTGTGGCAGGCACTCAGAAATACCCGCTGCAGCCTGGGAGGGACCCGCTGGGGGGTAAAGCGCAACCAGGTGACAAGAAACCTGGAGCCAAGGGAGCAAAGAACAGTGTGCTCATGCCAGATGAGAGGAACAAACCCCTCGGTCCCACCCGGCAGAGCCAACCGTCCTCGGCAGCTGGGACGGAGTCCACGGGAGATGGGCAAGTCCCTTTCCAGCTTCCACCCTTTGAGAAGAAGTGTGGCTCCACGCAAACCAGCAAGTACATTTCCAACCACGCCTTCAACCAGAGCGGCGACTTCAAGCAGCACACGTTCGACCTGGGGGTGATCGCTTTAGATGTGTCGGAGCGTGATGCTCGGGTACAGCTCACGCCCACCTACATGCAGCCCGAGAAGGTCCACCTCAGGATGCTCTACCTGTGCCAGGAGAGCAGCCAGGGCCACGCCTTGGTCCAGTGGTCCAAGATCGAGGAAGGGGTGAACTCATACTGGTTCCAGGGCTTGAACCCTGGCACCAACTACTCCGTATGTCTCACCTACCTGGGGGAGGACTGCCAGGTCCAAGTGGTCTTCACCACCAAAAAAGAGATCCCCTCGCTCATCATCATCGTGGTCGTGAGCATCTTCTTGCTGGTGCTAGCCACCTTACCCCTGATGGGGGCCACGTGGTGCCACCTCCTCTCCAAGTACCAAGGGAAGACCTACAAGCTCATCATGAAGGCCCAGAACCCGGACCAGATGGAGAAGCATATGGCTGCTGACTTCGACCCCCGCGCCTCCTACCTGGAGTCCGAGAAGAACTACAATCCCAGCGAGGTGGGGGAAGCGGACGTGGAGGAAGAAGAGGAGGAGGAGGAGGATGACGAAGGAGGCAGGAGGAGGAGGAGGAGAGAAACCGAAGGGGCTCCAGAGCTGGAGCGAGAGGAGAGCGTGGCAGCCAGCTCCATGGCGGAGTCGCAATCCAAAGCCAACGGCGAGGAGTTTGAGGTCCGCTCCGAGTACAGCGACAAGCTGCCGCTGGGTGCCGAAGCCGTCACCATCTCCCAAGAGATCAACGGCAACTACCGGCAGCGCCCCCGCTGAGCCTCCCCGCACCCCCTCC